TGGGATAAAATAAGCTAACTCATGAGATATAACGAGACAGAGTGTGAGAGTTATCTCGGGTAAGAGGGGAAATTATTGTAAGATAACTCTTTTCAGTTAGACAAGAACTAAATGAAAAATACGATTATCATTTGTTGGCATTTCGGTGATTATTTCCCACTTTTTAGCATTTCGTTATACCTAGACTATAAGTCATTCTGACTGACTTTCATCATAGAAACTTGCACACAAGTGCACCTGTTCAAGCTATCACATTCTATGTAGCACACAAAGGTAGAGAAAAAAGAAATTAATGTAATGAGTATAAATGTGAGGGGGAAGGGATAGTGATAAGAATGAAATATAAAGGTTGATTAGATACGTGAGATTACACAAATTGAATACATCTGTCATTGACAACGATTTGGAGTTACGTCTCTACCTAACACTATACGTTTAACCTAATTATGACTCACTATACTATACTATGATGAAACTGAAATAAAATAAGGACGACAGTTGTAGAAATGAGCCTTGTATTACATCCTGCTTGGAAATATGAGTTCCCTTATAGTTTAGTTTCAGTACTAAGTGAATACAATGCAATCTGTAGGATTCAAGAAATCCACAAAATGATGTGCTGCCTTTTAAAATAACCCAGTTAGTGTTTCCTCAGAAAAGTGAGAAATGGGCATTGTGGTTGTGTGAACTCCTGCCAATGAAAACGAAAACAATTCTCGCAATTACAAGTTATAATTTTAGCTTGGTTGCAACATACAGCAATTGTTAAAAGACCACTTGATGAAAATCAAATCTATACAGGAAGTGCATTACATTTACATATGCACTTTTGATTTCAAAATGAAGTCTCCTTGACAAAAGTATTATTGATGTAGCGGTAAATAATTCCCCAAAATTATTAGCCACAGCATTCATCACTGAACATTGGATGCTGAACCTCACTGTTTAAGTCAAATTGAAGGCTTCCGGTCAAGCATCCACGCCATTTGGTACTCCGTCGTGTCATGTTCGTGCACGATCCGTAGCTAGTTAAGCAATCATCTCTCACTCCAATTCGGTCCCGAAATATATCTCGTAATTTGGACGATTAATTCTGGTGTTTTGCTGTGCCTTTGGTCTACGCGGCACGAGTACCACAGAAGTTGTGGGTACTAGATCTTGCGTCAGTATACTTTGTGCTATCCGTGAACGTCAATATCCTCAGCCTCTAAACTGTAAAAGCCTACACAGTTAACAAATTATCTCATAACACAAGTGAAAAAACTTGTGTTTGTCCTTAGTGAACTTAATATTGAGTCTTGTTAATTAATTCGTGCTTTACGAATTTTCATATGCAGAAGAGAGGGCAAGGCATTCATAATCTCTTGCTTCATGTGGAATTGCAATGCAATTCAATGCGCAATAGTATTTGTACGAATAATCTGAAAAATAAAGTCCCCCTCACCTTCTAAACAACTTGTCTTGATTTCAAATAAGGCAATAAATTTCTTTCACGTATAAGCCTAAGTTATGTCTATGAAATCTGAATATTGTAGCAATTAAATCTTCCCTCAAAATAAAGGCCACTTGAAACACAAGTTCACAACAATGCTACATATTATGACCATAGTGCTAATGTTTTTAGTCTTAAAATGATAAGCCCACAGTTAAGGATACATGAAAACAGAAATATGTGCTGAAATTGAGCTATGAATACCAACAACTACCAAACCAATTAAGGCAATAGCGTTTCAATAAATAGGCTGAATATACTAGTAGGATTCCATGAAAATTCCAAAATATACACTTAAATTTTGGACACCCTACCTTATCTAATGCACCACATTGCGCATTTATCAGCATCAAGCGACATTTCCTGATACTAGTGATGCAAATGTAACGCAGTTCAAGTACATTATGCTGCCGATATTATGTGCGTCAGAAATGTTTTTTATTGCGAAATTTCATTTAAAAAGCATAACTTGTTACTAAACCAACACAGCAATGGAAATGAACGCTAGGATGATCGGAGATATGCAATAAAGCCCCTCCACCATTGCAGCCCTGTTCGGATTACTGGAGTCACTGTGGTGTCGCATGGACCTAAACCACGGAGGGTTACTGATTAAAGAAGTTTAACAAAATGACAGTAACATGATCCCAGAGGCAGAGCAGACGGTAATACTCGGGAATCGTGTTTCCCTTAAAAAGTATGCGAGTTTTTGGTTGGCCACCTGCCATTATCTCTCCTACCTCTACTGTAGCAGCAGTATTTTGTGTTACTGAAGAAGGAACTGGTGTGCAAATTTGCCATGCAATCATTCAAATGTAAAAATGACCAGTCATCAGTCACTAGAATACAGTTTCTCTGTGGTGATAGCATGATGAATATCTACAATTAAGCGTAGGAAGTGGCTCATAGGATCGTTTTGTTGGCAAAGCTGGTTGTCTTAATTAAAATAAGTTCTTAATGGAAATTACAGAGGAAGAACAAGGATTTTGCACTAGAAAATAGTCGAAATTTCACATTAACCTGCAGTACCAGCTCATCAATGCATCAGGGTCAACATTATCAAGACATTTTGTTGAATAAAAATACAATGTAGTCATAGTATTCATGTGTGCTAGTGACTACTGAAAATCTTTCTTAATATTAATGAGGTGAAAAGGACTTAGTCATTACTTATATCCTAAAAGCCACACATGATCACAAATTCATACCCTCCCCATGCTAACTGCCTTTGCAGAGCTTTCAAATATTTCTGGAAGTCTCATGGAGTTTATTACATATATAATGTGTGTTCATGACATGCATATCAAACACGCACAAAATGAATGCAACACCAAAAACATGGGATTCAAATCATCAGTACTACTTCCATACAAAGAAGAAACTTCTGAAACGTTACGGGGAATTCTTAAAAATGCAGGAATAAAAGTGGCATTCAAACCCACAAACTCCATTAGAAATAAGCTGTGTCGGTTGAAGCATCCTGTGGAGACTACCAAACAAAACAATTTAGTTTATCTAATACCCTATTGGAATGATAGTCAGGTTGAATAGATAGGTCAAAGTAGTAGAACAAGTGCAGTCAGACTAGAGGAGATCAAAAGCCTAGCAAAATCTAGATTAGATGACAGGAATAAGAAAAGAAATCTGGAGAATAATTCAGCTGCAGGTAGCACTGCATTACACACAACCATACAATAAGATGGGATAAGATGACAGTTTTAAAATCTAATGTACCAGAGAGGGAGGGAGAGATTGATAGGCAAAGCCTCATTTACTAAGTCAACTGAGAGAGAGAGAGTACGTGTAATAGTAGGAATGATTCAGCATGTATCCCGGACATTTGAAAGATTCTACTACTCCACGACGAATGGGGAAGAATAAAAAGACTATAAAACTCAGGTTTCGAAGTTGTGTGATTATGAGCAATAAATTGTGTTCTAAACGCCAGTCAGTAAATAATACTGTTTCACTGTGTGACGTATCTTATTAGAATAAGAGAATTAATATGGAACTCATGTCTTTAATAGTGATTAATTTCAGTGTGGATTTCATGGTGAACCAAAATCACTTAGAGAATCAGTGAAAGGCAGGGAGCACTGGACACGTATTCTGCCTTGTAGAATTTAACTGAGACTTTTTATTTAGGATAGCGCTGGGTGCAGCAGAACTAACTTCATGAAATTATATTTCGTCTGACATATGGCATACCATTATCTTCATCTACGACTTGTAATTATAACAATATTGATGACTACAACTTCTGGTGAGTGTGAGGTGAGATATTAAGACACTAAGTACCGATTTTAGACGATATTGGCAGGTTGTGTTATATAGTGCCTTGGTGTACATTTTGAGGTTGCGACGGGAAACTGTCACCGCATCTGTGAATTTCCATGAATGTGCTTATATCTGGATCTTCAACAACTAGTGGGAGACAGTAAAATAGGTGGAGTTTCACTAAAAGAAGGTTGGATGCGAGCCGCGTCGGAGTATACGTAACACGCCCTAGATGCTCAATATGCTGAAACCACTCTTGAGCATTTAGCACGCATGACGTATAGAATGTAGTGGGAACTCTTGACAGAAAGACAAGTGAATACAGATTAAGGCCTAATGATATCAGGACTTTCTGCTAAAAACAAGTCACGTCAACATGACAACTCTGTTAGTATCACTGACCATTTGGCGTACAGTGATAAAATACATGCGACCATTACCATCCGATTCGGAATATATTAGTTTATGTTGATGCTATTTGGTCTTCGAAATGCTGCATAAACTATTCGAGAATTCATCGATAACTTACTGTCTGAACTAGAGCTTGTTAAGGCCTACGTAGATGACCTAATCATCACTGGCCCGGACATCAACACACATAAAGACCACATTCGGGTAGTGTTACACAAACTGAAAGACAACGGAATAACAGACAAAGGAAGTGCTTTTTTGAAACATAGACAACTGAGTTCCTATGGCACTGACAATACTGGAATTCCATCAATGTTCAAGGCGGTGGACACTATCAGACAATATCCACTATTCACTTCAATCACCCAACTCCAAAGCTTTCTAGGCTTGATTGCCTTCCATGTGCGTTTTATTCGTAATTTCACAGCTTCTTACTGACATGCTTATAGGAAAGCCAAAAGACTTCCAGATGCATTCAAAGACACTCTTTAACTAAAAGATGCAATTACGTAGGCCACTACCTTAAAATATCCGGATACATACACCTCTTAAACTAGTGGAAGATACATTCGCTAAAGATGCAGAAGCAGTCCTGTATCAGCTAGGTGTTAATGATCAGTCACATTCTTATCTAGACGTCTTACTCCAGCAGAAACAACGTACTCAATCTTTGGCAGAGAGTTGGTAGCGATAAACCACGATTGTTTGCATGTAGTTGAAGCATACTTACACAGAATTCTATTGGTTATTTATGCACAAGATGCGACAAACTTCGCAGTATCTCGTTATCCCGATGAAAATCTAAGGAAAACAACACAATAGTTTGGAGATAATTTATTGAATATACAAGTAAATAGGTAGTTATAGCAGTAATAAGTATGCATGGAACAATTTTTCTTACATATTAAGGAGAAATAAAAATAAATAAGATCATAATATAAATATCATTATCATGTTTATAAACTACAGTGTATTCACCACTACCATAGAATTTTATGGAGTTATTTTCCTGGACTCTTATATCCCAAAATCTGAAGATATTACAGTTTCGAAAATTATTCATTTTCATTGGATTCTGTAAAATGAATGAGAAAGCAATACATTTAAACAAATTATAATGAAGCATAGTGCTGTTGTATTCTTCATTGACTGTTATCAGTTAATATAATTCAGAGAATACCAAACGAATGTGCGAAACTTCCAATCTAAGCTGACAGTGACACAATGAGGTGCAACTCCTCAGTGAAATTGCACCATGGTTCCCCTCAAGGGTAAAAATGTTCACAATATGTCTACAAATAAGAGGATTTCTCGAAATGTGATAGGTTTCATCTCTCATGAGTTGAATCAAGCAGAGTACGTGGCAAATTGAACTGCTATAATTATATGAATTCGGCTTAGACGAACTATACGATGTATAGGTGACACTGACGTAACTGCTAAACACAATTAATCAGTATGAGTGGTTGACTGACAATCACTTGCTCAGTAGTGTGTCACGCATTACTCTTGAGAAATATCATTATATAACTGAAAACTTAACACCTAGTTATCATCCGGAAGTCAATCAATACATTGGATTGATTTAATTCCAGATAGATACAGTTTGTTACTTCAACAATCGTTTGTCAGTGGTACTCACTAACCACACCTGTGGTACAGGTTTTGACTCGCGCCAGACGCACTCCTAAACCTCGCTTAGCCAGTATATGACCGGCAAAATAGGAAAGTTGTACGTGAGGTTACCAACCTCACTCTAAAAAAAACAATCGGAAACTGAAACTTCAAGTCTCAAGTTTAAACCCTAGGTTCCACTTGGAACGCAAAGAGTAAAAAATAACAAGTAGCAAGGCAAACTTCAAAACTGAGTCATGCTTGCATATTAGTTTGTTGATAAGATGTATCACACAGTGAAACAGTATTATTTACTGGATGACGTTCCGAACAAAATTGATTGTTCATAATCATGTCATCAATTATAATCACACAACTTCGAAACTTGAGTTTTATAGTTTTCTTTGTTCCCTGCTATTTTTCGTAGACGTAGTAAAATTTTCCATATATCTGGGACAGGTGTTGAATCATTCCTATTACACGTATTCTCTCTCAGTTGATTCGATAAACAAAGCTTCTGTTATCAATCTCTCCCTATACCCTGTGACATTAGATTTTAAAACTGTCATCTTATCCAATCAGCCTATTGTATGGTTGTGTGTAGTTGCATGTAGTGCAATCTACGGCTGAACTATTCTTCAGATTTTTTTTATCTTATTAGGGTCAACCAACCTAGATTTTGCTAGGTCTCTATGTTCGGCTAGTCTGACTGCCCTGTTCTACTAGTTTAACCTATGCATTTGACCATACAATAGGATGGGGATAAAATGACAATTTTAAAATTTACTAATGTCACAGGGTAGAGGAGAGATTGATAACAGAAGCTTTGTTTCTTCACTTATGCATAGCCGAAGCTTTAGCTATACATGAACAGAAACCTAAATTATGTGTTCAAAAACGTTTTGTCAAACCCCTTTCTTTACCTTGGTCATAGTAATGTTCTTTCTAGATTTTACTTTATTTTATTTTACCACTTGAATTCTTTCCACTTCACTTCACATCTTCATTCTTATCGTAATCGTACTCCTAATTTTCTAATATTTTTAGACAACACCTGACATTTTAAAACATTTTTGATTTCAATTCACTTATAAAACAATCTTTAGATAAAGGAATAAGAAGACGTAATTTGTCTGAATCGTGTAATGTATTTGCGCAACACATTTCGAACAATCTGATCACACACGGACTTGTCATAGGAATATACATACATTACACGATTCAGACAAATTACGTCTTCTTATTGCTTTATCTAAATTCATAAAGGGAACTAATTGTTTTAAAACAATTTTTAATATTTTTGTAATTTATCCACTTCAACTCTACCCCTTATAACATTTTAATTATCGTTATTCTTATCACATATATGTATATTGACTGAGCAATTATTTAGTGCCACTTAATAACCTTTTCTGTAATATGAATACGACTGTACAGTTTGAAAATGAAGTCGTTGAAAAGAAATTTCTTAGCTGAACAAAACCTGTGTTTTTACTTATGAATAAATGGGTATTTTTCGTGATTTAACGGGAATGATTCAATACCTGTCCGAGATATATGGAAAATTCTACTACGTCTTCGAAAAATAGCAGAGAAGAAAGAAAACTATAAAACTCAATTTTCGAAGTTGTGTGATTATAATTGATGACATGATTATGAACTAAAATTTTGTTCGTAACGTCATCCAGTAAATAGTCCTGCTGCACTCACTGTGTGATACATCTCATAAACAAACTAATATGGAATTACTTACTACCACAGTGCCCATGTTAGATTACACATATTAGTCTGAATCATGGTTTTTAGAATTTTTGGAAAGACATGACCTTATGTAGAGTTGTGGATAAGCCTCGCTGATAAGTATCAAAAAGTGCGAAAGAGGTAATAACCGTGTTCCTGGAATCTAATTTAAGGAATTTTGTCAGATTCTACCGAGAACGAACTGTGATGAAACAGGTAATACAGAGAATTATCGGAAATTAGAAGGTATCAGTCGGATAGAATTTCCAACACACACACAAAGCCACAATAATCGCGACATTCCAGAATTTTACACAAATCAATGCACTTAATACCATGACTAGTATATGTATTTGTCACCTCCCCTATTCACAATATTAAAACTGATGTGCACAGTTATTATAAGAATGAAATGGAAGAAAATGGTCACCAACATCCCACATACAAACAATAAATGGAGGTGTAAACTGCTGCTTTCGACAGTAGACTGTGAATCATTGTTGAAATAGTCAGCATGACCATCTCTCATAGTAAATGTGTTTTTCTATTCGGTTAACAAAAGCATAAGCAACTGCTGAACTAAAATTATAATTACTCACGTATGATGCGTAGGGACAGGCCACATAGGCGGTTTGCGATTCATAATAATCTGTAAAAACCAATCAGTAGGCACTTTAGTCATTGTCGAAAAAGCACATCTTAGAGGAGTTGAAATGGATTTATCTAACGTTGCATTCTTTAATAATTGAGAAATTCGCTGACGCTCTTTAGGTCCCGTGATAACTGATTCATACTCTTCCGTAGTAGTGATAATAACTGCTTTTTGAGTCTATGTGGAAAATGAGAATACAAGTACAAAAATGAATATAGTCGAATGAGATAATCAGATTGCACAGAATCTATGCCATTTAAATTCAGTATTGGTTCCTATATATCATCATCTGTTGATTTCAGTAGTGCTCGAGAGACTAGTTTTGCACTTCAGTGAATTTAGAGGGTTAGTTGGAGTAAAACGCTAGTTTGTTAACAAGTACATACGCTACTTTACAATAATCCTAACTTGACTATTATTCAGTTATTACTACAACTCCTAATAGAAATCTTACTCCAAGAGACGGTAATATTTGGTCACAGTTTCGGATATACTTGTCAGCGCCTAGATATCTAGGAATACAGATATTGCACTATATAGTAATGAATAACAGGAAGGCATTTGCATTCACCAAATACTAAAATTCCCCTCATTCTGCTTTTGTTTTTACAGCGCTGTTGCAAGAATGAAAGAATGTGTCGCCTTTTAGTGTTGGTTCGGTCTTTGCAATTTCTACCTTTCCTAGATAACAATATCTGTCTCAACGCGAATATGTTACGTTCGGCTTAAAAAGACAGCTGATACAATATATATTTAAGATTAATATGACATTATAAACTCTGACGTGTTATCATCAAATAAACGAGTAATTAACTAAACTACCAAACAATGTAAAGCATAACACATAATTATGAGAACAACTTTAGATATAAAAAAAATAAATAAAGCAACCGCTTACCGATTTCTGCCTAACACGATTAATCAGATCGGCATCGGACATCCAATGACCTCCTGCCAACTCAGTAAGTTTGCATAAATCAGCAAAGGGTGGGGAGACATTTTGTGAAGAACAGAAGGACCAGCCTGATAAGAAATTGTCGACTTCACAAGTATTTTCTGCTCCATGTTTAAAAGATTCTGATAATCCGGAACAGCGCCTTAGTGATTGTTTACTCGACAATGGATAAAGTTCAGGTTTGACATCGTAATGTAGGATGAAGTCAAGTGGATCTAACAAGGAAGCAGTTAAATGATAAATTCACACACACAGCTAACACTCAATATAAATTTATGATAGGTTGAGTGGATTTCTGAATTCCTGCTGCAGCACCCGAAAACTACTTCTAAATCCTACAAGAAAAACTGAATTTCTTTTGAAATAGTCAGTAATGCATATATAATTGTCTGATTTAAGATGAAAAGGTGATGATTAAATGTTCATTTGAAAGACAGGAATCAAAAATGTTTTACACACAGGCTAACATGATATTAAAAGTCAATCTGAACGAAGAATATTCTTTTCAATAATTTCTCTTCAGGTTCTTACAGAATATTCTTCGTTCAGATTGACTTTTAATTCATAATATGGGAATTTTCGATACTATCAAATCTTATAACATGATATTGTCCTAACAATTAACTCATCGCCTTCACGAGCCCATAGGGCAGTCCGATTCAGATATCGACCATATTTAACTATGGCTCAATCTAAAAAATGTGGATTATCAGCGATAATGGCATAACTTGGCAATAGTTACATAATTTTGACCTTTGTTTAGTATTCGTGCCAATTCGGAGTTTGAGTCTGCCATTTCTTGTTCGGTTTTTATGCTTTTCAGATGGTCATTTCGTTTACCTTAAGTGTCTTATACATGTACATAGAAGACAGCTATATTGAAAATCCATAATCCTCAGAAGAACGAAACACCGAGAGTTTAAGTATTGTCTTCTCTTCTGTGTGCAGCATATAATGAAGCTAATTTGGAGATTTGTTTCCACAGTATAGCTTCCTTTCAAGTTGTGTGCATTCTTAACACTGCAAATAAAAGCAATATTATTGAATCTTCAACTACGAAACTAACCCACCAAGCATTGAGGCAGAAGCTGTTGCACACAAATAACACCATTTGTATTTGTTGTACCCATTCGAATAGAAAAATGCGTGATAAATCATTACATAATAACAGTTGCATA